GGGGGGGGGTGAGGCTTGAAGGCCTTCTCCTGTCCCGATGCCCCCGCACTTTAGGAGCTTTAGCTAGATGCTGCTCGGCAACCTGAACTTAGGAACTTTCGAGTTCTACCTGCAGTCTCCATTTGTAGTTCCGGTTTGGGGATACCGCGTAAAATCCTTAATATATATATATATATATGGTTAAACCAAAACGGGAACTACAATGGAGACTATCGGTAGGGCTTTAATTGGGCTTAAGGCTTTAGGGACTTCAGGTGTCGGGTTTAGGGTTCCGTAAGGGTCTAGGGTTTAGGGTTTAGGGTCTGAAGGTTTCGGAATTTGAGCGCGACTGCCTGCTTACGAGCTCTTACGCGCTGAGCCTTCGCCGTGAGAGGGGAAGTTAGCCCATCACTGCAAAACTCGGCCCCTGAAAGTATCGGTCCTGTCAGCTCGAACATGACCACCTGAGCAAATTGCTGTTTAGGTTTTCTTGACACTCACACTTGGACAAGCCTGGCAAGGTCTGTAGCGATACTGGTCCAACGATGTTCGAGGTTAGGTTTGAGGGGAGTGTACGGCTGAATGTCCATCGGCTTTTCCCCAGCCGGCCAGCTGACAACGTCGCACCGCAGACTCGAGCTGTATGCCGGCCGGCCCTAAACCCTAAACCCTAAACCCTAAACCCAAAAACCTAAAACTTAAACCCTAAGCCCAAAAACCTAAACCCTAAACCCTAAAACCTAAACCCAAAAACCTAAACCCTAAACCTAAACCCTAAACCCAAAAACCTAAACCCTAAACCTAACAACCTAAACCTAACAACCTAAACCTAACAACCTAAAGCCTAAACCCGAGGACGAAGGCCGCAATGCAGGGTACCAGGTCTTCAGGTCGCCGTGTTCATGCATAAAGGGCTGAAAGTTTAAGGAAGGGGCCACTTAATAATTGGAACAGGGTTTTGGGGGTTCCGTATTAGAATGATAGTAGAATATATCCCCCCAAAGCCTATTCTAATTATTAAGGCCCCTATATTACTGCCCCGGTCTTGCTCTTACCTGACTCGAAACTCCCTTGGACGCTGGAAGGAACCCTGATCAACAAAGCCGGTGCAGCTCAGAAGTATTCAGCCTGATAGACCCACTGCGTTGACCAACAAATACCGTGATACCCTGAAGCCCAATGTCATGCGGGGTTCACATACGGACATGTCTCTTGTTGCGATGACCCAATCAAGAGTAAACATGCGCGAAATAGGCTTCAAATGGTTACTTTTGTTCTAACTGTTGGGATGTTGTTGAAAATGGAAATCCTGACAGAGCTCTCTCAGGAGACCCCTGATGCAGGCCACGCAAAAGCCCTATTCTACTCATGATGAACGCCCCTCTATTGGACTCACCCTTAACCCGAAATATTCATCCAACGAGCTCTTAGTCTTAGGGAAGCCCTTATAAACCTCCAATTTTCTCAGCCCAAAGATCCTCTACACTATAGTTGTTATCATATAATCTAGCTTGTATGGTCTACTGCATATTACTATAATGCATTCTACTCTGTTATGTTACCTGAAGAGCCGGGATGCCACCAGAGAGATGTGGACTCGACAGACGCCCGCCAGGGTTGCCACGGCACCGACCATAGCAAAGATTCCTGAAGCGGTGGGTTAGACTGGACTTCGCTAAGAAAAACCGTTCGAGCTGGGCCGAAGATTCCTGAGGGTATCTCGGGTTGCCTATAGTCTCCATTGTAGTTCTTTTTTTGGGCTTAACCATCTATATATTAAGGATTCTATAAGGTATGCCCAAAAAGGAACTACAATGGAGACTACAGGTAAGGTTCTTTTGAGGCACTCAGGGCTGAAGGTTTTTGTCTCAGATTATTTAAGGGTACTTGGGGCTTAGGGCCTTGCAGCATGGTTAGGGTCCTAAACCCTAAACCCCTAAACCCCTAAACGTAGGGAAGAGTCAGGGTATTCAGTGTTGGCTTTTTGGGGTCTGGCGCCTAAACCCTAAACCCTAAACCCTAAACCCTAAAACCCTAAACCCTAAACCCTAAACCCGGGTTTGCAGCGACAGCCGGTGACTCCCCACATTTCCCTCTTTTCTTGAAGGAGGTGAACTCCAAGAGAGCTTCGAGTAGCCCGAACCCGAAGCCCTTGGCCCAAGCCATAATGTAGGGGCCTTAGTGATTAGAATAGGGTTTTGGGGCCCATTATAGTACAATTATAATAAAGAACCCCCCCAAATAGTATACGGGTTTTGGGGCCCATTATAGTACAATTATAATAAGGAACCCCCCCAAATAGTATACGTAATTGTTACGGCTCCTATATGCACCCAAAAACCACCCGAAAGTCTCGCAGCCCTTATGGAAACCCGTGCAGCAACACCGTCAGAACCTTTGCAGCCGAGCCCTTCTAAGACTAGACCCTTACAAAAGGGGCCTTAACAATTACTTATACTAGTTTGGGGGGTTCCCTATTATATGTGTAGTATGATATACACCAAAACCGTATTCTAATTATTCAGACCTCTGACCCCTAAACCCCTAAACCCTTAAACCCTAAACCCTTAAACCCTAAACCCTAAACCCCTACACCCTAAACCCCTCGAAGGACGCAGGGGCCTGGCTGAATCGTTGCTCCAAGGTCGAACTGGCTGTTGACCCACTCAGCAAGGAGGCCTCTTCGGCTAAGGCTTTGGGGGTGCCGGGTTTAGGGTTTAGGGATTTAGGGTTCAGGGAGTTAGGGTTTAGGGTTTAGGGTTTAGGGGCTTAGGGGTTTAGGGGTTGGGGTGCCGGGTTTAGCGTTTAGGAGTTTGGGTCCGGGGGTGCAAGCTCGGTCGTGCTTTGATGCAAGTACAAGTTTTTCACGTCGCAACGTGAGTCTCAGAAATCATTCTTAATGGCTAAGCGTGCGTATAATAGTCGCAAGCTGCCCCCGCTTCAACAACCATAATGCCTCCTTCCTCAGCCATACTCTCTTGGAGGCTGTACCTTCCTGGCAGGGTTACCAAGTCATTGCTTAGGGGCTGAGTACCTTAGCCCAAACAAGGTGAACCTTTTGAATTCTGTATAGTACGGTTATGTACGCCCAAAAGGTTAAAGGTTACCTACTCAGCCCCTAAGTTTAGGATGCGGGCTTAGGGGTTGGGGTCCACAAGTCGGCTTAAAACACCCGGAAGCCTACATACTCTTTATAAGGACAGCATAGATCCCAACCCTTTTTTCACCTTCTGGGGAACCCTTACAGTCAGCCTTGTGGTGACCTCTATAAAGCCTTCTCCTCACACTAGATGTATAGAAATATAACATACATACAGACACACGTACATACATGCATGCATGCATGCATGCATGCATACATACATACGTACATACGTACATACGTACATACATACATACATACATACATACATACATACATACATACGAACGCACATACATACATACATACATACATGCATACATACATACATCCATCCATGCATGCACGCACGCACGCACGCATGCATGCATACATACATACATGAATACATGCATGCATACATACATGCATGCATACATGCATGCATACGTGCATACATGCATACATGCAGACATGCATGCATGCGTGCATGCAAGCATGCATACATGTTACATACAGACATGCATACATGCACACATGCATATATATATATACATATTTATTCATGTTTGTATGTGCATGTTGCTATATACATGCACATGCATGTATGTATGCATGTATGTATGTGTATACATATATATATATATATATACATATGGATACTGTATAGTATATATCTTTCTATATATATATATATATACATACTTACCACGTAAAGTCTAGTAAGCTCCCAACGGCCTGAGCCTCGCCCACAGCAGGCGCCCACCAAGAGGGAGGGGAAGAAATAGCCGCCTTTGGGGTTCCCTTGAGGTTCGGTGTTAGTGTTTAGGGTTTAGAGTAATTATAGGGTTTAGGGTTTAGGGTTTAGTGTTCCTAAAGGAGTTGCAGAAGGTTTAGGGCTTAGACCTTCGGATTTAGGGGCCGCTTGAAGACATCGAGGGTTCAGGTTGGTGGACTTGTCGCTTGACACGGGCAGAGCGGGTCTCTAAGGTCTTCTTCAGAAAAGGCTTTGGGTTTTAAGGGTTTAGGATTTAGGCTCTAGGGGTCTTCTTAAGAAAAGGTTTCGACATGTTTCGACTCCCACACTAGCACGAGACAGGCGAGGCTTTTCAATCCGTTTGGCTAACTCCACGAACAGCAAGGCTTAGGGGGTTTAAAGGGGGCGGTGGGCTTGTGTTGGCCGCCTGCAAAGCAGGCTTCCGGGCTCTTGTTGAGCAACGCTTTAAACCTTTACGGTTCTGGTTGTAGATCTTCTGATCTGGCTACTGCTAAGGGGCCCCTATGGCCTGGTAACATCTCCGCAATGTCGGCCATCAGCCAAACAAACGCTCGCAAGGAACATTTCGTCGTGGCCCATGTAGCCAACTACTATATACGTTGGCCCTTATAGGAGTCTAAATATGAACCCCAAAAAGGAACTACTACTATGGGGCCTGTGGGTAAGGCCATCTTGGGCACAGGGACACGTCGCGCCACAGGGGTTAGCACGAGGTGGCTCTTCGAGATACCCATCCCCCCCCGAGCAGCCATGGCCAGAATGCTGGCTTCCCTTCCATGAGGGTTTAGGGTTTAGGGTGAGGATCTCTTCACGAGTTGATTGTATTCTCCGTGGATCCTTTACATGAGCCCTTATAGCATCCCTCATACAAGCCCTGTATACATGCGCAGAAGCGCCACGCCTGGGATTCCGATGTCGTAGGTGATGGTCATGAGCAACCTGCGGCTTCAGCGCTGATGCTCAGACTCTCCAGGTTTACCTATAGTCTCCACCGTAGTTCCTTTTTTTGGTTTAACCCAATTATATATTAAGGATTTTATAAGGTATCCCCAAAAAGGAACTACAATGGAGAGTACAGGCAAGGCTTTTAATGTTTTATGGGTTTCGGGTTTAGTGCTTTTTATGTGTTCATGGGTTTAGGGTTCAGGGCTTTTAACTTTTATGGGTTTAGGGCTTAGCGTTTTTGTTTTTATGGGTTTAGGGTTTAGGGACATAGCGCTTGAGGATTTAGGCCCCTCCCGAAACCCTCGTGCCCCCCCCTTCACGGGCGAAACCCTCTTCGTGATGCTGACAGAGTGTAGCACGATTACCACTCCTAAGCCTAAGACCCCCAGTCCGAAACCCCTAAAGCCCCAAACGCCAACAGCACGTCACCCTTTTTTTGAGCAGGGGCTGCAGCGCACATAGCCCTACCCTAAGGACCTAAACCCCTGAAGCCTACACCCCAAGCCCCGAGACCCTAGAACCCTAGAGACCGCAATGCCCTACACCCCCAAAGCCGTCCCCACAACCTAAACCCTCACTTTTGCCGGTTTCCTGCTGCCTCGCACGTAACAGGCGCCATACGGCATCTATGCACTGCAAAGGTCATTTGGGAGCTTCTGAACACAAAGGGTCTCCCCACAATGGTGCGATGCTACTGCTTAAGCCTCGGGATTCAAAACTTAGGGTGTCAAGGTAGTCGATACACCGGTAAAGTGGGGCATCATCCCTTACTCTTTGCTGACCGATAACTGCCCCAAAACTGTTAGGGTTTAGGGTGCTGTGCCACTGCTATGCCTTGCGCAAGCGAGCCGGTGGCTTCTTCAAGTAAGGAATATGAGAAAGGTGCGTTGCGAGGATGCTCTCCGCCCCTTGCCTTTCTAGCTATACCCCGGTTGAGGGTTTTAGGGTTTGGGGCTACTATAACCCTACTATAATAGAATATAGCAAGACCTTTCAGCCTATTCCAAAGTCTGAGGCCGCTAGATTATGCTGTGGCGGTGGGGCTCTATAGCCAAGGCTCCAGGAGAGGAGTCCGCTGATGAAGAGGGTCCTCCAGTATTGGATCAAGGGAATCCCCGAATTATTAGAGCAAGCTTTTAGGGTTTGGGGTTTAGGGCATACTACCAAGATCCAACAAAAAATGCATCAGGCCTATAAGAGGCAGACTACTAACTCGTTCACGGACCTCAACAAAACCAGCTAAACAACAACCTTACAAGGCCAAGGTCGGGATATCCCACCCACATGCTTAGGTTGTGAGTGCCTTTTTGTGCCCTGATCATTACTCAAAACCTCTGAGGATTGTGGGTTCCTTGAAGGGATCCATGAAAGGAACCCCTCAAGGGAGCTGTAAAGGGACCGTTAGAGGTTGGCGGTTAGGATCGGGCCGATTTTCCGGGCTTCAGGGGTCCTCCAGCTGCCACCCTAAACCCTAAACCCTAAACCCCTAAACCCTAACGAGGGTGCTCAGGGTTTTCGGGTTTAGGGTGCTTTTTACTTGTTGCCTCCCACCTAGCTAAGACGAAGCCCGCAATGCAGGATGTAGGAGGGTACTAGGGTACTAGGGTTTTCAACCAAGAAAGTTCGGCTGTTACGTGATGGTGCATGTCACGAATAGGGGGGAGACCATAGGCAAGAGATGTGAAATGGCCATAGAACGGCTGTAGAGGGTTGGCACGGCGAACCACGGAAGCTACAGATGCAATGCAGGTACCAAAGAGCAAGACCGTGGGGCGAGCTTGCCAAACAAAATAACAGACGAAGGTTGAGAAGTGGATGCTGCAAAGAGAGCGGAGCTCGGAGAGAGCAAGAAACACACACATGAACTTGCAATGGTGATGTTCGTTGTGTCTGTACCACGTCTGCTAGTCATCCTCCAAATCAACATCGCCACAGCTTTGTGAACGTGAACACCATCCCCAGCGTCGCCACCATGCATGAATACGGCACGATGGTAATCGCCTTCGTCATCTCGAGCAGTATCCCTCAAATTCACAGACATGATCGCCATGATGCCCTCCTCCACATCACGAACACTACCACGGTCACCCTCCGCATCATCATTATCGTCATCATCACAAGCATCATCGGTAGGTCAACTCGCTGCTTCGCAACAGCCCCGACCATCGCTAACTCATGCCATTCTTCGTGACTGCCATCGTCGTAAAAAATGCTACCTTGCCTCGCTTCATGCAGCAGTCCACCAGAGAAGCAAGCTAATCTTAAGCATGATAATCATGATATTGCTGGGCTTTTCACGTTTTAACGCAGCAGGAGCACACAGGCATGCAGGCCGCATGAGTGAGATCGTGCTCGAGATTGATGCCGTTTGCATCCAAAAGAGCCATTAAGTATACAAGGTACCCTCAAAACCTATATTCTGAATTCTGTTTACAACGGAACCTGTATTGGTGACTATCCTGATCTGCTCCTGCAGCTCTCGTCCCCTTCGAAGTTCATAGGTCCTTTATGCATATCAGGGACTCGCCCAGAGCATCACACCCGTCGTCGACTTGCAGTGTCCAGTTTAGGCTTCGGGATTCCGGTTGCTCATGACAGAATCTTCGAAAATGTAGGGGCCATGATAATTAGACTAGGGTTTGGGGGAGTATATATCTAACATAATCATAAGAAGGAGCCCCCAAAATAGTATTGGTAATTATTCCGGCCCCTATATTAACACAAACAACCGCAACAAGCCGACGGCTTGCACCCCTGCACAGGCTTACCCACAGCTTCGCACTGCAATTCTCATATCCTACATCAGAAAACTCTTAGAGGAGCCCTCAGAAGAGAACCGCAAAACTTGAACCCGAGACCTAAACACTGTCCTCATGAGGTCTGCGCTCCAGACGATTTCGCCATCCTGGCAGTAGCCAATCGGATCCTGGCAATCAACATGCCGAAGAGGTCTTCGTCTCTGGTTTGGCGTTGTAGAGTTTAAGACCTACCTGTAGTCTCCATTGTAGTTCCTTTTGGGGATACCGTATAAACTCCATAATATATAATCGGTAGTTAAACCAGGAAAAGGAACTACAATGGAGACCAAAGGTTGGACCTAATGACCAAATGCTTTGGGGCGTGAGGTGACAACGGCAAGAGCAACGAACCAACTGAGTGACTCTACAATCCTGCAAACTTGCTTCCCGAGGTCCTCTGGAACCCTGAACCCGAAACCCAACAACACTGCAACAGAATTGGCCCAAGCCCTTCTTGAACACACCTAAAACCCAAACTAAACCTTTTTTGCTACTGGTCTGAGCTCAATAAGCTAAACCAACTTATAGCAGGATACTATAGAGCTCGAAAACTCTTCGCGAGATCTCGGGGGCTCGAGCCTTACTCCTAGATCCCGGCACTATGGCCCGATATAGGGTTTAGTAATTTAGGGTATCCTTTTCATGGGTTTGGGAGTTTAGGGTTATAAGGGTTTAGGGGCTTCGCTGTCGCACACTGGCGCGGGAGAACGTCTTCGGGTTTAGGGCTTTGGGGTTAGGGTTTGGGATATTTGGCAATTAAATTGAAAGTCTTCGGGAGGCAGAAAACATGAGCCGCACACCAAACTTGCCCCAACGTCTGAACGGCACAGTGCCGGGAACACAACCGTCAAACGGCCAACAGCAAGAGTCCGCACTTCCAGCACTCAACAACCAAATCTCTTTACTCCTAACAGTCCTACAGTAACATAAGAGCCCATAGTCTGACCACACTGTATGTGGAATGAAGGTTATCACCAGAGCAGCACACACTGAGAAAGAAGCCTCGAAACGTAATCTTTCCGACCTCCCTCTCATTATAAATGGCGGATGTCTCACATCAGTTCTCACGTCACCCCGCTATACCCTGCTTAGAGTCCAAAATTCGACCCCAACGCACAAAATCCAAAGCCCCCATGTCCGAAAAAAATCTCGCCCAGGCTCAGACGCGACCTCGCAATTCGTGAAGAGTCCCTGCGGTGTTGAATACGCAGTGTGGCTTAGTCTGCAAGCTCCGGGTGGGTGGTTTAGGTTCCTGGGATTAGGGTTTCGCGAGCTCAAAACCTTTCACTCACAAAGGACCCCTAAATCCTAAACCCAGGAGCCCTAGGCCCCAATGCCTCATGCAGGCACGCTATTCAGGTTTCAAGTAGCTTGTGAACCTGTCTGAACTCATGATGTATGAAGTGGATCCGCACGCTCAAAGGCAGAAGGACGCGTACACACCTTTAGACCTGCCGTTCTGGGCCACCAAAGATGAAAGCCTAGACCCCGCAATAGCAACAGTAATCCTAATCATAAACATAAACCATGGTAATAAAGTAGTAGGAAAACTAGTAGTAGTAACAGTAGCGTTTGTAGTAGCAGTAGCAGCAGTAGTAGTAGTCGTCGTCGTAGTAGTCGTAGTAGTCGTAGTAGTCGTAGTAGTCGTCGAGTCGTAGGCGTAGTCGTCGTAGTCGT